AATAGCTTTTGAATATCTTTATCTTGAATAAATAAAAAAACTTAATCTAAATCTATATATATTAACCACGCATATTATAATATATACAAAAATAAATACATATGCACACCAAATTTATAAAAATTAAATTTGCCGTTTTCAACTTGCTTTTCTTTTTTATCCACCTTGTCATAAGATCTCGAGTGCGATTTTTCAAAGCCAGGTGACTGATATCTATGTTAATATTATAAATACTTTGCATAATATAAATCAACAAATAATTATAACTTGTTACTTATAATTAGCGCACTTTTTATTTTCGCCATAATGATTATAAGTTCCGTATTTATTTGTTTTGGACCATTTATCACTACTTTCACTGTTATAAATTCTTCATTTTCTTCTGTCATGATATCTTTTTTGATTATTTCTACTATCTCTACTTTGATCATGACTTTTTGAGTGACTATCTCTACTCTTTCGATTATAACTTCTTGAATGACTATTTCTATTCTTTTGGTCATACCTTCTTGACTGATTTTTTTAGTCATAACTTCTTGAGCAGCTATCTCTACTCTTTCGATTATAACTTCTTGAATGACTATCTCTACTCCTTCAGTCATACTTTCTTGACTGACTTCTTCTATCATAACTTTTTGAATGATTATCTCTACTCTTTTGATCATTACTTCTTGAATGACTTCTTCAATCATTTCTTGATTGAGACCTTCTTCTGCGTCTATATTCCAGATGATAATGGTTTTTAGAGTGATATATAATTTGAGTAAATGTATATGTAAAAGTATGCTAAAGAAATTCAAATAATTTTTTCTCTAGTTTTTATAAGATTTGATTTAGAAATATATATACTTTGTTGCAATAAAGTGCACTGTTGTATGAATAAGCTTTTTTTAACAATAATTTTATAGTCATAACGTAAGTATTTAGACTCATAAAATTTACTAATTATGATATTTACAATGATAAAATTAATTTAATAGATATATTCTGATTAAATTCTAAAGCTTTATTTATGAAATTTCAAGGTGTTTGAATTCCAGTTTGACTGAAACTACAATGGGCTAATATTTTAGAAGATAATATTCTTACTCTAGGTTTACCAGTTAGAATCTTTGAAATTAAAGAACAACTTATATAAATAATTAATGAATATGTCTGACAATTAATTGCAATATGA